TTTGTGATAAATGTTACAGCAGCCACAGGAAATACATTCATGCACACTAGGTGCAAAATGAGACTTTTTAAGAAAATTAGATCAGTCACTATTAATACTAATTACATTAAAATTAAGTGTTGAACAAACTTCAAGTGATATTCAAAATGTACACACATGCATATATATGCACATATACATATATATAGTATAAAGAGCACTTATAAACACACAAACATACACATAGATATAATGTAAAGAGTACTTATAAAACACACACACCAACCTGTTTAAGAAATAGAAATTGACACTCCTCCAGGGCTGCCAAGCTTGGTAGCCAGCCTACTGATTCCTGCAAAGCAGCAGCCGCAGAGCTGTGGAGCAGCCAAGTGGCAACCCTGGTGGGTTGGAGCGCAGGTGGCAAGCATAGCCCACCGGGGCGTGGAGCCTGCATGGTGGTGGTCCTGAAGCACGGAGATGAGCAGGGACAAGTCTACCCTGTCACCCTGCAGTAGCTGGGCCTGCACACAGTAGGGATGCCCGTTGCAGAAGCGCATTGCCCTGCCAGCCTTCCCACTGAGCACGGCAATTCAATGACTTCTCCCTCTCCTGGTAAGGGGGAAAAAATGGAAGTAAGGCAAACCTAAATGGGATTCAGGAGTAATCAATAGCGCGATTTCCTTTCCAAACTCTAATTGGCATAATTTTGGACGGATAGCATTAGCACTTTTTCAAACCCTAATGAGCATAAGTTTGGTCCAATAGCAGTGACCCAAGTGCTAGCTTAACCTCTAGACTAGCACACCTAGAAGGAAAAAGCCTGCTCTGGGGTTCCCTCTTCAGTGTAAGAGTTCTATTCCTGTTTCTAGTCAATAAATCCTACCCTTACACTCACTCATCCTGGTCTGTGGATTTCATTCTTCAAATTTACCTGACAAGAATCCTGAAGGAAGAAGAATCTCATGGTGAACTGCTGGGGTCTGCTGCAACCCCGGAGGGCATGGCCCTCCACTCCCGTTTTAATATGACCATTACCTTTGAGTCCCCCTGGTGTCACTCTCAGAGCTTACTCTATACCCCTTTCTTTGTCGTGGACGTAACCAATATCTTTAATTCTGTGATTTTCGTCTCTAACTTTATGGGTTTTTATTAAAGATATGTGTATGTAAGATATATGTGTACATATGTATATATATACTTATTTTTTCATCTTGGATATTTTAAATTATGTAATTGAAATACTACAAAAAGTCTTATTTTAAAATATTTATTCTTATTAGAGAATTACAGTTATGCATAGGAATTGGGTTCATTTTGATACAATAATACATGCATAGAATTTGATTTCAATCAAATTCTGACTTTTTAATTTGTTTCACATTCAGATATTGCATTTAGCTGCAGGTCATTCATGTTAGTTACTACACTGTAAAGATATACATATGTACAATATAAAGATACTATAAAAGATATGCCACAACTTATTTACCCATTCCTAAAGGAATGGAGACATAGGTTGGTTTCAGCTTTCAGCTCTGACAAACAACATTTGTGGCCGTGAAAGTTCTTGTGCGTGCTTCCTGAATCATGGATGGAAGAACTCACTAGGGTGAGTATCTGAGAAAAACTACAAGTCAGTGGGTATGAATATATTTACCTTTACTAGATATGTTATTTTCAAAAGGAGCAGTACAAATGTTTAAAATCCAACCCCAGTTAGCCAGTTTCTTCCTTTTTCAATCTCCCAGCACATACCACTTTTATAATTTATTTGATAGATGGCCATATTTTTGTCTTGTAATCTCTCTTCTGTTATGCATGGTTAATCCTTGGATTCTCCATCATCTTTACTTGTGCAGGTGTTTAGAGCTGGATATACATTCCATCTGGGAGGGGGCTACATGTTCTTGATAGAGGTGAAAGAGAAAAGGGATTAAAAGCATAGACCCTGAGGTCAAAAATGTCTGAGTTCACCTAGTGCTGCCACTTACTGGATATGTAATCTTCAGTTGATGACAGAATCTCTGAATGTCTCAATTACTCCAACATAGTTTGGAGAAAACAAACATAGCCACTTAAAAGGGTTACTATGAAGATTAATTAAGTTAACATAGGAGACACTTCGTGCCAAATCTAGAGAGCACGATGTAAGTGTTGGTCATTGCTGTTACTAAAATTCATGCTGCTGTTCTCCATAAAAGCAAGCATATATAAAAAGACACTATAGATAACATTATCTCACATTAGAAATGACCAGATATAAACACCATGTGTTTATGTCAACAAATCTAAAAAAAATCTTCCTATATCAGTGCTTACCCCCTTCTTTCATTTGATGGTGAATTCTCCTATCAAAGAAATAATCACACAGGCTTGCTTTCTTTGCTCAGACATCTAAGCTTTTTCCCATAGTGGAGCCTTGATGTTGGCTGTTCCCTTTTCCTGCCATAGATCTCTGTATTCCTGCTTCCTTTGTTTCAGATAGGACCTCTCTGCCCATTCCTCCCAAAGTAGTTCTACCCTGTTCTTACCATCACACTACTCTGTTCTTAGTGTCTTTGTAGCATCATTGTTATCAGAAACCATCTTGTTCATTAATGTCCCTTCTCCTCTCTTTGTTATGGTTTGGATCTGAGATGTCCCTCCCAAAGCTCCTTTAATGCAGGAATATTCAGAGGTGAACTGACTGAATTGTGAGAGCTGTAACCTAATCAGTTCATCCTAGTTCAAATGAATGAGGTGGTAACTATAGGCAGGGGAGTGGGGCTGGAGGAAGCAAATCGCTATGGTCATGCCCTGAAAGAGTGCATGTTTCCTGTGGCTCCTTATCCTCTCTCCCTCTCTCTGCTTCCTGAGCCCTATCATGAGCTGAACGGCTTTCCTCCACTGGGCCTGTCCCCCAGGGTTCACTCACCTTGGGCCCGAGCAAGGGAGCTGCCATCTATGGACTGAGACCTCTGAAACTATGATCCCCTAAACTCTTTCCCCTTTAAGTTGGTCTTGTCAGGTACTTTTGGTCACAACACAAACTCTGACTAAAACAGAAATTGGTATTTAGAATTGGGATCTTTGCTCTGACTAACCTGGCCATGTGTTTCAGAAGCCTTTGGAACTGGTTTGTGGGGGAAATTTTTAAAAGTTTAAAGTTACAGGCTGCAAAAAGCTTTATAATGTTGTAAGTGGAGCTTAATGGGAAATTCTGGTGGGAGTTCAGAAAACCAGATTACTAATAAGAATGCAGACTGTGCTCATGAGCTTTTAGAGAAAAATGATGAGGCCACTGGTGTTATATTCTACTAAAGAACTTGGCTACATTAAGCCCATGCCTGAGACATTCATTGTATGAGGCTCAATTTAAAAGTGATGGATTAATTAATCTGGCAGAAAAATTTTCAAAAGCAGCACAGCATCCAATCAGTGGATATTGCTGGAAGCTTTCAGCCAGGTTTACTCTGAGAATCAGGAGCAGAAAACAGCTAAAGGATTTTTTAAAAATTTCAGGTTTGGCCAGAAAACTATGTGTAAAGCTGGGGACAAGAAAGGTAAGCTTGTTGAAGAGCACACAGGCCCTGAAGAGATGCTAAGATGCACAGACACAATAAGAAAGATACCTTGAAGGTATCTTTCTGCCTCCCCTGAGGACTAGTGTCATGGAGTCAGCCAGCCATGGACTAAACCTCTGGCACTGTGTGTTAAAATACACCTTTCCTCCTCCACAGTGTTCTTTTCATGTCTTTTGTTCAACAGAAACACAAAAGCTGACTAAAACCAAGACTACAGGTCTCTTGGAGGTGAACAAAATGCATGTTGTATTGTGAAATGGACATAAACTCTGGAGGTCAAAGGGTAGATAGAATATTATGGTTTGTCCATGATGTGCCCCTCCCCAAAAAACTCCCATTAATGTAGGAAAAGAGGTGAACAAACTCTTAGAATATCAGTGCCTTTAAAGTGAAACCATGAGCTAAACTCTTCACTCTGTAGGTATAAGGAAAACATATTTTGCAAGAGTAATAGTGACATATCATAGCCACTCAAAGATGGCAGGAATAGAGTGGGGAGTGGTGTGTTCACTAAACAGTGTTTGAATGACTTCTTGACTGCTTCATCTTATTCCATAGAAATTACAACTCTAATTATGAATGGAAGACATCAAAAACATTTTTACAAACATCTACATGTAAATTTTTTAGGAGATATATATATATATATATATATATATATATATATATATATATAGTTAACTATCATGTGGAAACACTTAAGGGTCTTCAATAAATCAGGAAAGGTAGAGAGCAGTATTAAAATATCCATGTACATACTATTGTTTTGGGTTCCCAAGCAATGTATAAGGGTTTTCTTTCTTTCTTTCTTTTTTTTTTTTGAGAGAGAGAGAGAATTTTTTAATATTTATTTTTTAGTTTTCGGTGGACACAACATCTTTATTTGTATGTGGTGCTGAGGATCAAACCCAGCGCCCCGCGCATTCCAGGCGATTGTATTACCGCTTGAGCCACATCCCCAGCCCGGTATCAATGAATTTCTGATTTAAGAAAGATATAAAAAAAATCCTTGCTTTAGCTATATCATCAGCAATGGCTTAAAAGTAAAAATGACCTTCCACACCTAAATCCTTGAGGTTAACTTCCATAAGATAAAAATATCCATTTGGAAAGAAATCTCTGTTTAAAAGCCAAAGGAAAGGTGAAGAGGACAGACAGTAGCTGTCCTGGAAAGTTCGGACTCAAAACTGATTCTTTAGATATGAACTAAATGGGGATCAGCTCTCAAATAGCATTTCTGATTTGTTATATAGTAAAGGAAAATAGCTTAATAACCTGAACTTTCACCCTCTGTTCTTTTTCTAAAAAGCATAGCTTTTATTAATTTTTCTCTCTTAAAATTGTATTTACTGAATTGCCAACTTTCCACCCTGATTTCATTGACCCCTTTTCCTCACACTCCTCCTAACTTTCGCTCTAGGTGTGGACCAACACATAGAACGTTTGAAAGATCAGAAATTTAGGCAACAATGTTTTATTTGTGGTCAGGCTTACATAGTTCCAAAAAAGTAAACATAATGAACAAAACACCTAAAAATACGAGAGGAGGTTCTCCAGGATCAGCAGAAGGCACTGATCATAACAGAAGAAAGCTTGAGACGGACCTCCAAGTGCAGACAGGCCGGGTTCCTTCCCGTTAAGTTAAACGGAGTTCTCAGGCTGGTAACAAGTAGTCAACAGGAGCAGAAAGAACTGAAGACTGTTCACTGGTATAGAAAGACAGGGTCCTCCAGGGGTGTCACTGCAGAGAACACAAAGGTGGCAGTGACCACCATTCCAGCTGTAAAGACAACCATGCTGATGCCATCTGAAATCCTCATGGTGCCTCTCGTCCAACTGACTGTCCCTGATCCACTCCTTGGTTGAGTCACAAAACCCATTCCCACAACACTGAGTCCAGTGGATTTTGTTGTAGGACTGAGACACCAGGTACGCACCGGATGGCAACACACTAGATCTGGTACTTGCTATTTTGAAAAAATAGTAAATGCTCTTGCATCATTCTGAAAAATGAGTTAGACTTAAGCTACTTGAAAAAGAAATTGTTAAAATACACACGGGAAGGGTCTGAAATGGTGAAGTAGAAGGCACTTCCCACACTCTGCTGTTTGGAATTGAAACAACAGGAATACTGCTTCGTAACAAGGTAGGCATCTGGAGAAAATCAATGTGAGTCAATATTTGTCTGGCAGTGATTAGGAGAAGCCCAGAGAGTCTGGTGTTGTGAACAAAGGGTCTAAGGAAATACACCAGAGCCCAGCAGCAGCAGGGCTGCTCTGTCACTGACAAGGGAAGCGCAACACAAAGGGAAAGAGAAACGTGGTGAACAAATTTGGCACATAAAAACCTGAAGAAGGCAGCCTGTAATTAGCTGAAACAAAGACTCGCAGCAGAGTTGTTTGTGCTCCATGATTCTCAACTGATAAGTGAAGAACTGAGATGGAGGTCCAGCTTGAGGGGTTTATAATGAATCTTGTTCCTATGGGAACCCAAGGGTTCTTGGCAAATACTTCCACTCTGCCTTGGCCAATGATTACAAAGTGACTTAAAAGTGCACCTGGCAAAAGCAGTTATAGAGAACAGTAGTAGATACAGGAGATTCAAGACAGAGATACGGGGGAGAGTGCAACCTGCTCTCCCTCTGGGCTCTGTGATATGAAAGACCAACTGAAAAGGATTGAGGACATTGAACAAGTCAGTGTGTTATAGGGGAAGACAACCAGCTATCCCTTTGAACACTGGAGTAAATGACCAGCTGAAAAGAATCAGATTATATTTAGGGATGGAGGCTTGGAAGTTCATGTTTAATGGTGGGGTACCATGCAACATCCACCCAGAGTGGCAGGTACCCTGCCCTATGAGTAGAAATCTGGGGGGCTGCTAGAATCCTGAGGTTCTGCTGAGATACTCATCTACTCTACCCTGGGGGAGGGGGGTACAAGGATATAATATCTCCAGAGTATTGCTCCAAATGATGGTCCAAATTTCCATTTAGAACACTACCCCAGCAAAAAGAACTACACAAATATTTCTCTGTACCACATCCAAATAGGAAGAGCACAGATCTAAGACATCTGGACAAAATCTCAATAGAAGTTACTTCTAGTTTTATCCCCACCCCCATGCTGGTGAGCAGAGAAGCTGAGAGCTATTTTAACCAGCTACACTTCCAGTGAATTCCAGTGAGTGAAATGGTCAAAATCATAAAAGGAGGTTGGACTTAATATCACCCAGCTCTTGCTCTCTCTAAGAGGTAGAGACATCTCAGTGAAAAAAAAAAATTCCAGCATTTTTAATTAAGAATTTTTCTTTTATTCTTTTTCTATTATTATTTGAATTGTTGTGGTTATATTTGTATATATGAGTACATACATATATACATAATTTCCCCCCTATTTTATCATGTCTTTTCCTTTTATTAACCTTTTACTATTTAGTTTTCTTTTTCTAAGAGGCAGTGATTTGTTTGATTTTTTAATAGATTTTTTTTTAATTCAGGTTAGGGGCAGGGTTGGTGTTGTTTGCTCTACTTGTTTTATTATTCTTACTCTCCTTGCCTCAACCTCTAATAGCAAAATATCTTGTTCTCTCCCTTTTTCTTCTTCTTTAATTCCTCCCTCTTTAAAGCCTTCATGTATCACCTCTCTTCCACTTTCTCTCTTCTCACCTTTTTAATACTCCAACCTTCCTTCTGCTTTCATACCCCAACTTCTTTACTCCTAGTGAGCTATTTTTTTTAACATACATTTAATCTATGAGTTTATCCTTTGGGGGAAAGGACTAAGGCGGTTCAAAGGAAGCATCACTATCACAGCATCTCCCCAAGACTCAGTCAAGACAGCAATTCACACTGGCAAACTGAGCCTAAAAAAAACCTTTCATGGTGGGGGTTGGGGAACTGAGACCAGTTAAATTCAGAGCAAATCTGGTGATCCCTACGTCACATCTTTCAAGCCTAGAAAGGGCTAGAGAATAGGTTGACACATTCACTCTCTTCGCCCCTGTACATGGTCTGAGAATTCCAGAGAGAGGGGCTTACCAGAGTTGGCCAGCCAAAAAGGGACTGAAACTCTGTATAGACTCTCCAAACAAATTTGACCACTATGGATCAGAGTTGAGAATAAATAAATGGCACAACAACTTAAACCCCAGAAAAAAGGGGGACTCTATTTCAAAAACCCCAGCAAGAAAAATAAATAAACTGGTGGAGGTGAAACAGATGTAAGTCTGAACTGTTCCCCAGCCCAGATTGAGGCAGTGAGAGAATAGCTGATCAGAGAGCCAAACAGAGCTCAAGAGCAATTTTATTTTTCTTATTATTCAGTTTCTCAACCAATTCAAGAAAATTGCTGCCATTTACCTCTCAGATTAGTAGATTGCTGAAGAACATTTTAGTAAGTTTTTATTTTAAAGATTTATTAGTAGAAGGCTCTGTTCTGAAGTGGCTGTAATTATTGGGGATTCATGTCTCCTCTCAGTGTGTTGTTCCAGACTGAACATAAGAGCAAACTGGGTGAAAATATTGTCACCAAGACATTTACCCAACCTAGGACACATAATAAAGAGAAATCAGCTCACTAAAAACTCACATATAAAAGTAGAAGAGATAATCATCCCAGCAGATTGGAAGAAATACTGACAATATGAAAAAGCAAGGAAGCAAGCCCCCCCGCCCCCAAACAGCTCACAACACAACTGATACCACCATAGAAGAAATGCCAGAATACCCACTAATACCACTGTAGAAGAAATGCCAGAAAAAGAATTTAGGAAGCTGATGAACTAAGAGAAAAAAATACAGGAAGTGAAAGAACATTTCAATAAAAGATACAGGGATTCTGAAAAACAACAAAACAGAACTCCTGAAAATGAATGACTCAACAAATCAAATTAAAAATTCAGTTGAAAATATCACTAACAGATTAGACCACAAAGCCAGAATTTCAGTCATGAAGACAAAATACATAATCTTGAAAACAAAGTCAACAACAATAACAAAAAAATATAAGAGACAATGATCAGAATATATAAGGAATGTGGGATAACCTTAAGAGACCAAATGTAAGAATCACTGGCATAGAAGTAGGCATTGAAATACAAACTAAAGGAATGCACAGCCTTTCAGTAAAATTATATCAGAAAAAAATTTCAAATATATATATATACACTATATATATAGTATATATACCATATATAACAAACCCAAGCCAACACCAAACTGAAAGCAAAGATGGAAACCCAAATACAAGAGGCATTTAGAGCCTCCAAGATATGAGACCAAAAAAGATACTGAGGAAGATACCTTATAATTAAAATATCTAATGCAGAGAACAAGAATAGAATATTATTTCACTTTTGCCATATTTTTACTGGTACATTATAATTTTACATAATGGTGGAATTCATTTTAAGAATAGAATTTTAAAAGCTACAAGACAAAAATGGCAGGTCACATTTAAAGGTAAGCTTTTAGAATTTCCTCTGATTTCTCAACCCAAACTCAAAAAGCCAGGGGGCCTTGGAATGAAATATATCAAGCTCTGAAAGATAATGTGTGCCAATAAAGATTGCTATAACCAGCAAAGCTATCCTTCAGAATTGAAGATAAAATAAAAAACCTTCCATGATAAGCAGAAACTAAAAGAATTTATAATCGGCAAGCCAGCACCATAAAACATATTTAATGATACGTTATATGCAGAAGAAGTGAAAAATAAACACCAAAGGCAGCAAATGGAAGAATCTCACTGGAATAAAAATCAATTAAAGGAGACTCACATCTGAATGAAATATTAGAAATAAATCAAAATGGCAGGAAATAAAAATCATCTCTATAATAGCGATGAATGGAAATGGCTTCAACTCTCCATACAAAAGACATAGATTGGCAGAGTGATTAAAAATAAGACCCAACCATATGTTGTTTACAAGAGAACCAGACAAAGACATTCAAAGCCTGAAGGTGAAAGGATGGATACTATGTGAGTAAAGACTGAAAGCAAGCAGGGATAACTACTCTCATATTTGAAAAATATTCATTGGGAGAGACAAAAAGGTCACTTCATACTGGTTAAGGGAATCATCTAACAACATGATACAATGATTGCATATATTTATGCCCAAAATTTCAACACACCTATGTACATAAAACAAGTCCTATGCAATAAAAAGACTCAAGTAGACCCCAATACAATAATGCACATACCTTTCTCAATGACAAATAGGCCATTCAGATATAAACTGAACAAAGGCTCTTCAAAACTAAAAATACCATTAATCAAATGGACCAAACAGACATCTATAGAATATTTAATCTATCAACAACCAAATTCACTTTCTTCTCAGCTTCACATGAAACTTTCTCTAAAATAGGATATATTCTAGGACACAATGCAAGTCTTAGCAAATACAAAACAATAGAAATAATTCTTGCATCCTATCAGAACATAATGGGATAAGCTAGAATCAACATCTATATAAAAAAAACACAACAAAAAAAACATATTAGCATGGGAAGACTGAATAATATACTTTTGAAAGAGAAATGTGTCATGGAAGAAATCAGGAGAGAAATTTAAAAATTCTTATAAAGAAATTAGAACAAAAGTATAACATATCAAAATCTCAGGGATAGTATGAAGGCAATTCTAAGAGGAAAGTTTGTAGTATTGTCTACAAAAAATAAATAAAGAAAGAAAGATCTCAAATAAATAATCTAATGCTATACCTCGGCCCAAGAAA